ACTGCAGCAGATAAATCTAGTGCAGGGTTTCACCATGTGTTAGGGGGAGAAAAAAAAATAATACTCCATTTGTCCACCGTGACCAGGCTTTAAATAAGCATCAAAACTTCCAGCAGGTGTGCAGAGCAGGGGAACAGCACAGGTCAGAGATGCTCTGGGGGTGAGGAGAGGAGAGGCTGCAGAGATGGCAGCTGGAAATAGGAAATAGCCTCTGCTGGGCAGATCCAGAGGATGCTCCATAATCACTTTAGGGTCTTGGAATGCTTCACAGAGTATTCCCCTCTGAGTGTTGGTGACCTGGAGGAGTTTGGGGACAAACAGGAGCCCCTCAATGGCTCCAAGTCCCTCTGGATGGCCACGGAAACAGGAGGTGGAGGAAGGGAGGGCTGGGAAACAGCCAAAGGAGCTCCCCAAAGCACTTCCCTGCTCATTACTGCTGCACTGCTCAGCATGGCAACTTGCAAAAATAAAGACTTTAAAGGCTTCTTCAAAGAGCTTCCAGGCTGTATCCAAAGCTCCATCTGGAAGAAGTCTCATGAGACTTTGGAATGTTTTGTAAATACAGGCAGGGGACAAATGAGGTTTTTCTTAAACTGAGTCTGGCAAAAGTTGCTTTCTAACAGGAGCTTGCAACAGGCCACATGAGCAGGAGTGTTTCCCAAAGAGCATCCCTGGTGGAATGTCTTTTGGAAAGGGTGCAGTTAATTTGTCATCCCTACAAAGTCTTTTACTACCCCAGTAAATTATAGGCCTTTTGGGAATGTGCTGTACTTGGTTCTTTTCAGGTCATGTTCTTGGTCTTGGATTGCTGGGTGAAACCAAATATGCTGCTTTATCCTGTTTGCCTGTGGATTTGTTTTGTGTTTCAGCAGATTGAATAGCATTTCTATTTAAATCATTCCTCATTCTAACTGAAACAATTGCTGTTCTGTGGTGTCAGGGGATTCCTGAGGTAACAGGAACACTGTACATTTTGTTATTTACTGCCCCTTTGCCTCTTGAAAGCCCCAGTTCGTTTTGGTCCATTTTCCCTGCTTTGTTTGGGTTAGTGATGCCTCATCAGCTCCCCCAGACCATGGCAGGCTTGGGGATTTTCAGCCCTGGTGGCCCTCGTTGTGGATTTCAGGCAAGGGCTGCAGCATCATTTTCCCATCAGCAGTGCTAATGCTCAGAACTGTGAGTTTTAAGAACTTGAGGTCTCTCTTTGCTGGTTTTCCCCTCTCCTGCAGCTGTTGATGACACTGTGAGTTACCCAGAGCTGTTGTTTGCCTGTGTGCTCCACTTAGCACTTCTGACAGTGTATGAGAAAAGAGTGAGAAAAACCTAAGAAAGCTATCAGAAGTATGAAAGCATAAATCTCCTATAGATTGAAAATATCTCCCACTCTCATCTTGGTATTTTTCCCTTCAGTTGGGCTCTTAGCAAGAAATTCCAGAATACTTCACAAACACAGATTTAGGCCTTCTACAGCCTTCCTCCTCCTCCTCCTCCTCTCCCTGAGGAAATGACATTCTCATTCCTTGTTTGCAGATGAGCAATGAAGGTCTGAGTGGTGAAGTGACTCGTCCAAGGTCAGCTGCTGAGTTAGTGGCACAGCTATGAATAGACAAAGGCATTTTAGCTCTCAGCTCTCTGCTGAACAAGACTGTGCCCTCCCAGTTTCAATTTGTCAGACTTCATGACTAATAACATTTGAGCATCTAGAACGTGGCAGAAGAATTTCTTTTCAGAGCCAGCAGGTAATCCCTGGTCACATCAGCGGCAGTGTGGGAGCTCCTCCCTGTCCCCAGGGATCCTGGTGACACTTTTTGGGCTTTCTGAAGAGGGAGAACTTCCCCCCTTGGATTGCTGTTTGTGGCATGCTGTCTCTGCTCACCTGCGTGCTGAAAACAGAGATCCCAGAGCTGACTCCTCATTTGTCTGGGTGCAGCAGTAATGAAGAGTCCTCAGAGCAGTTTGCCTTCAACAGCTATTTTAAACCTCCAGTGCAATCTGCTGTTCCTTGAAGGGAAAAAGTAATTCAACTAAAAGTCTCTGAGGAGCCAAGGGAGAGGAGTAAATGTTGAGTGGTGCTAATCAGGAAGAGGAAGTCATCTGTCTGCTGTGGGCACCTCCCTGCTCACATGGCACAGCCTGCAGCACCACATAAGAGGCTTTGTGATCAACAAATGTCAAGGGCAATTAATTCTCTGGCCAGCAGCTGTTATTATTAGGACAAAGAGTGGCCAGACATAGAAGGAAAGCCTTCAGCTGATTTATTTTCTCTACCTTTCCCCTCGAAATTGATCCGTTGTTCATACCCCAGTGGTGAACTCCTTTGCAATAAGAATTTCAACTTTGCCATCTCTTTTATTTTCAGTAGCAGAGTTTGTGTTAGATTCAGAGCAGAGAGGAACAGCTCAGGGAAGGTGTTTAGAAAGTCCTCCCCACTTTAATGCCAGCAGGATGGAGAGGAGTTGTGTGTTAAGCTGCTAACACAATAATAAAACCACCTCAGACTGGTTTCCTCAAACTTAATTCATGGAAGCAGAGCACTTTTAGGCTTGACTTAATACCTCCCCAGAGTTATTCCAGGATTGCTACAATGCAACTGTGGGTGTTCTAAACACACCTACGCTGCCAGAGAATCAGGAAGGATGTACTTAAAATCCTTTAATTTATCTAATAACATCTTTAGCAGCTTTTTGTGTAGGTTTAGCATTGTAATGGAAATGCACTCTTTGGCTGGATATAGAGCTGCTGTGTGGAAATGGAACACGTGTACAGCACTTGGAGCTGGGGGGGATACTCTGACCTGCTACACCCCCTGAAATGCACCCTTCACTTGTGCCATTGGTCACTGCAGTTAAAATATTACCTAAAATTCCAGATATTCATGGCTCTGGGTATCCACAGATACCCAGAGCCCCTCCCAGGCCCAGGCAGAACACAAATTCCTCCTCTCTGGGCTATTTTTTCTTTGCTGTTTAGGTCCTGAGTCTATTTTAGCCGCTGCTGTTGCCCCAGTTCTTAACCAGGTTCCCTCTTTGCCCATCAGGGGATGCTCCTGAGGGTTCTTTACAAGTGACACAAAAGAAGTTTGGTTTTTTCTGAAGAGTCCCAGCACTGGGCTGGTCAGGGGAAGCCTTGGACTGAAAACAAGCTCAGATTCCTGCGGGTGCCCTGCTGGTAACTGCTGGGATAATTCTGCTATCCCGGGCACTGCAATCCTCCCTTTTTGGGGAATCTCATGTAACATGAGCAGAACCAGCATCACTGCACGACAAACCTGCTTTTTGTGAGCCAAATAAAGACAGAAAAAAAAAAAAAAGACAGGAAAGCAGCTCCTCCACGTGCCAGAGCAAGGGATGGGCCGGTGTTTTCCTCAGGATGGGAAGGGGGTCAGAGCCCTGAGCTGGGCTGGCAGGGCCTGAGGCAGCTGATCCCCCCAGCAGCTCGGAATGCCCACCTGGGAATGCCAGGGAAAACCCTGGGCTGGATGGGGCCCTGTCGGAGCCCAGCACATCCCTCTGGGTGCCATGGGGGGCTTGTGCCCCTGGCAGGGGCTCGGAGACCCAGGCAGGGAGCCAAAGACACCTGGGATTTCCATCTTAACCCATGGAGCAAATTACCAACTTTGTATGAAGAATTACAAGGCACAAAAGTTTAGTAGCATAACAGTAGTCACAGGGTGAAAGGTGGAATTTTGGGGACTTTTACCATAGTGGTCTAGGAGGCAAGATGGAGGGGCTTGGGCCTTGTCCTGCCTTTCTTCCTTCTTCTTCCTAGCCTCCATCTTCTTGGTGATGATAGCACACTTAGATTGGTCTAGAGTAGAAATAGTCTAACATAGGTGATAGGTATTGGAAAATAACTTGAAATAAAGTACTCGCAGTGATCAGTATAAAGAGATAGCACTGCCTCAGGGCAGGGCCGTGTGCCCTGACAGACCTGCAGATCAGACCTCTGCGGGTCTGAGAGAAAATGTTTTGGATAATAGACAATAAACAACCTTGTGAACACGAGCCAAAGGATTCTGACTCTTCTAAAGAACTCTGAGGTCATCAGAAAGCAGGAAACCCGAGAGGGCCCTAACGAGGTGTGGGTGCTCCCTGTGTGACTTCCAGAGCTTCCTAATAGTGTTAGACAAAGCTATTTATTGTTCATCTTATCCTTTAATCATTTATTGATATGTTGAACAGAAGAAATAGGTTAAGGAAGTGTTCATTGCCTGTTCCCTGGAATTCTGCCTTGGGATTCTCTTGATGAATGGTTTCTGGGCTGAAATTGGCTCTGTGTCTCTCTGTGGCCCTGTGGCAGTGGAATGTCTTGGGAAAGACACCATTACCCCAACAAAATCAGTGGAAATTGGAAATTTCAGGCTGTGTCAGCAGGAGGCACCTGGAGAAGTTGGGGCTGACCAATGGGAAATGCAAAGTTATACATAAATTAAAAGGTATTAAATTCCTCTTGAATGAGAGAATGTACATGAAAGTGGCCTTGGCTTGCTATAGATTAATTAACCTTGGGGGATATCAGGTTTAATTAAATACAGTGAGTTAAAGCCACTTCACTGTGGGTAGAAATCATTCCTGAGGGAGCTTTTTTACCTTATGCACATCAGCTCCCTGTGGGCTAACCTTAACTTCCAGTGCCCCTTAGAGAGCCTTTGGACACTGAAATCTGAGGAATTCAGGAACCCTGACTCCAAATCTTAGGAGAAACTGGACTTAACTTGAGTTAAAATTGTACCATACATATGTAAAAATGTACAGTTGTGTGACAGACTCTGGAGGGTTCAAATCTAGATTTGAAAAGAATTTAAATAGAGATTATGAACTGAAACATTAAAACTTAAGAAAAAGGGAACAGAGGAGTGAAAGAGGGCAACCAAAACCCCTCAGCGAGTCTGAGGTCTTGCTGCAGGGCTCAGCCAAAGAACCTCGGTGAAAAACACACTCATGTTACCTTGCTGAATCACACTAAAACATCTTTTTGTGGTTTCTCTTTTTCCTTCCCAGTAATTGCCCTTCATTCCTGGCCTCTGCTTTAGCCAGAGCAACTTCAGATGAAGTCCTGCAGAGCGACCTCTCGGCACATTTCCTGCCCAAGCACATGGACAGCGCCGACGGCATCATCCGTAAGTGCCCCCTCCATTCCACCCCTGGCTGCAGCTCTGGGATGGAACACCCCACGAGCATGGAAAAAGGTCCATGGGGAGCTCACCACCACTCTGCTAGAGCTGCAGGTCTAATTTCTCACTCAAACCTTTGGAATTACTCTTTTCAGTGCATTTTTTGTGTCTGATGGCCCTGAATCTCTCTCTCAGCACTTTATACAACGTGGTTCTGCTGGCAAGTGCCAGTTGTCCTCCCTCATCCTTGGAGCAAAGTCAAATATATGTGGGAAGAGATAATTTAATTCTGAATTATTTCAGTCAGTGTGGTTTTTACTATGGCTTGTAAGGGTTTTTTTATGGCTTCAGCAAAAGGTAGTATAAAGAGATTTTTGTGATTAAAAGGAAGAAAATTCCTTTTCCTCATTTATCTGTGCTGGCTGACAAGATTTTTGCAGCCTCCAGCTCAAGGTCATGCACCTTAACTCATTTCAGGAGTGTGCTGGCCTAAATAACCTTGAAAATTGTCTGGGTTGTTCATTACAACAAAGACCAATGTTTCTCACATGTATTAACAGGAATTCTGTCATTTGATCTTGAAAACACAGTCCACAAACCACTTCATCCATTCCCTCCTATTTTGATTTTTAAAAAATCCTGTAAATTATTCTGGGGATAAGGAGGATCTATAAATCTGGCTCTTAAAAAAAGATTTTGCTGTATTCCCCAGAGGCCCTTGGAAACCTGAGGAACAGAAAAACATGCTCTGGGTTCCCTTTCTGTAGGTATTGCTGCCTCCTCCTGCTGAGCAGGTAAATGGAATAGATTTGTCATTGTTCTGGCTGAGCAGCCTTCATTAATTTCAAATTGAGATCTCTGAAACTTGCATAAATATTTGACAGTCTCCAAGGAAATGTTGACTAAGCCTCCACACAGAATATCTACAGAATTCAACAAAAAAGGAAAAAAGAAAGGAAAAAAAGCCACCACAAACCCCTCACACCTACAGAAATTGACATTTAAATATATCTGAGGCTGTAAGACACAGAGGCAAACACAGATTGAGATGGGAAGAGACTGGAGCAGGCACAAAGAATAGGGCTCCAGATGCAGTTTGTTGAGGTGAATTGTCATAATGAGGGTACTTGGAAATAAAATATCCCTTTGCTGATGCAGTGTGAGTGTTAAATCATGAGGGTTGTGGGGGACAGGATGAGAGAAAACATCCTCTGGCCTGTAGTAAAGCAACAGCTTCATACAAACCCTGCAATTTCAAATAATCTGTGATGATTTTCCAAAGCAGGACATCAGCTCAAGTGTCATAGAATGACAGAATCTTGGGACATTAGAGACCCAGTCCCACCCTGTCCCATGGGCAGGGACACCTTCCACCACCCCAGGCTGTTCCAAGCTCCATCCAGCCTGGCCTTGGGCACTGCCAGGGATCCAGGGCAGCCACAGCTGCTCTGGGCACCCTGTGCCCCATCAGGGCTTCAGCAGCCACCAGGGCAAGGTCTGGCCCAGCAAACCCAGACAAAAGTGGTGGAGCAGCAGCTCCACCCTGGAGACCCTTCCAGGGGAGTCCCTTGAGAAGCCTGGGCTGGGTGCTCAGAGGAGATCTGCCCTCAGGGAGACTTCAGTGCTTTGGAAGAAAGCAAAGCAAAGTGTGGCAGGTGGTGAAAATGGGATTTCTGCATCTTGAAGTTTGATGCTCAGAGTTCACTGTGCCCTTGGTGCTGTTTGAGCTGCTGCAGAATGTGAAACCAAGCTGAATTTCACTGCCTGGCTTTAATATTCAGTTCTATGTCAGGTTTTTTTATGAATCCAGAAAGATTTTTACTCTGTGTAATACAAGGAGACATTTACCTGATTTGCCTCAAGTTTGAATTTGCTGAAAGATAAAAAAAAGGCTATTTCAAATTTCCTTAGTGGCACATTTCACTCGAAGAATTGCAACGTGACAAATCATGTCCTGTGCTTAGGAGTGGTGAAAGCAGTTCTTGGTGTGGAAAGAAATGAGAAACTCCATGACAGAAGAATGAAAATCCTAAAAGAAGAAAAACTGGTTGGAGGCCACAAATGTGGGATTGCAAGATTAGGGGTCTGTATTTGGGGTGACCATGTGGTTTGGATATCTGAGTCAGGCCATGACTCTTCTCTTCCAGCTGCACTGGGGAGGAGCAAGAGATTTTCCATGAGACCTGGATGATGCTGGATTTCTTTTTTGAAGGCTCAGGTTAAGGACATTTAGGTTTGGGGTTTGTTTGTGGAGGAAGAGAATCACAAGTTTGGCATTGTTCAAGGAAGCACCTGAGGAGGCTGGAGAGCAGGACCGTGTGACCTGGTATCAAATTTCCAGGAGATGTCACAAAGCAAATCATCATGTCCATTACCCAGTTGTTCCAGGTTCTAGGAGATGGATCCTAGAAATATCCAAAGAGATCCACAGCTCCTAGATTAGGGAAAACCTTGGTCTTGGTTCTGACCCCTGTTGTCACACTGGCCATGTTATCAACACAGCTCATAAAACATGGCACTAAAAGCAGGATCTGATTCCTGGTATCCTTTCTACCCTCCTTCTGCCCTGTCATCTTAGGGAACAGCAATGCCTGAGCTGGATTTCCCCCTCACTGTGGTGCAGCTCAGCATTACCTCCAACCTTGGGGATTTGGGAGCAGCAGGAGGGAAATGAAATTCTCCGTGACACAAGCACAGTGACAGCTGAGTCAGCTCTGGCTCAGCGTGGCAGCATTAACAATTGATGAGTAATTTCCAGCTGTGAGGGGGTGGTTTTTATTGTGGCATTTTATTATTCTCCTGTTTTGACCTCACGAGCAGCTCCTGATGATGCTGACACCACGCACGGTCCCCTGGGAAGGGGGGTGAGGATCTCAGCAGGGTCCCTGGGTTCACTGCCACCCTCCTGCTGAGGGGACCCTGCCACGTGCCCACTTCCCTTCACCCCTGCCCAGTGGGGAGGAATGGCAGAGCAGAATCTGTGGGCTTTCCTCTGGCAAATAGAACTTGGACACCTCAGGTTGGACGTGTTCCCTCTTTAAATCCATTACCCAAAGAGATTTCTGGTGGCCCCAGTGAGAGCAGTACAGGTGGGGGGAGGAACCCCCACTCACACTGTGGCAGGGGTGGGATGACCCAGCTGTTTGATTTCCATCCTGATCAAGGAGCCAAGCTTCCTTCTGGTTATTTATCCAGTGTATTTTCAGCTTAATGCCTCTTGATTGAACCAACAGAGCTGGGACAGTATCTTGTTCCTAGGGGTCTTGGCCTCCTGGTCACTGTAGACCTAGGAGAGAAATTTGTAAATGCAGCTTTTAGGCTCTTCACAGAATTCCTGTAAACTGAGAGATGCTGCAACTCTCTCCTCTCCTCCCTGCATGTGAGCCCCTCCTCCTGCAGGAGTGATTGGCACTCCTGGGTTGCTGCTGCTCAGCTTTGAAGATGCTGGCTTTGGTGAGCCATCGTGAACAAAGAGATTTGGATGTGTTCAGCTCTGATGCTGACTTCCTGTTTTCCTCTCCTGAATTTCAGAACAAATGTCAAGTGCCTGAGTTTTCACATTTTAAAATGATAATTTCTCAGCAGTGCCAGTTCAGCATTTTCTTCAATTTGAGGCCTTTATGGTTTTCTCATTTGCTCACACAGATTTCTCTGACACACCATTGTCAGGAATGTGGGAATAATAGGAAGTCAGAAAATAGCTCAGAAGGCACCTGTGCACTGCTGAAAGTGCACAAAACATCTTACAATTACTCTACTAATTTCTGCAGATTGTTTCCACTGTCTTTCCTCAGCTCTGCAGTGAAATGGTGTTTAGAACAGAGAATTTGGTCCAAACCCAGTGTGTCATTGTCATGGAGGGTGGGATTGGTAGGTGGCACCCTGTGCCATGACACAGTCCCTGTCAGAGCTGCACCACCCTGGGCAGGGCCACGCCAGGGATCCAACACTTTTCGTGCCTTTCATTTTCTCTGCTGCTGCAAATGAGTTCCCCAAGGCACAGGGAAATGTTTAAGTTAAAAAGACAAACAAACAATGAGCTGCTTACTGATGAATGCTGATTATGGTGAGTTTGGCTTCTCCTTTTCATGCATCAGAGCCCAGAATTTCCCTGCTGACATCAACTGCTTGGCTAAAATGGTTTTGTTTCATCTTTCTAATGTATGCAAGGGAGAAAACTCTGACTTAATAACACTCTCAAGGCTTTCATTTGTGGTTTGTGCCTTCCTCAGAGATCGAGACGGTGAAGTTGGCCCGCTTAGTTTACAGCAAACTGCACGAGATCTGCAGCAACTGGGTGAAAGATTTCCCCCTGCAGCCCAAGCCCCACCGCTACTACGAGACCTCCATCCACGCCATCAAGAACATGCGTAGGAAGATGGAGGACAAGCACGTCTGCATCCCTGACTTCAACATGCTCTTCAACCTCGAGGTGAGCACACAGCACACAGAGCACACAGTGCTTTCCATGCTGGGAAAGCAGGAGGGTTTTCCAGGAGGGAGTGGAGGGTGATGGGCCTCAGGAGGGTTGGCATTTGGTCGCCTCACTGTTCGTCTCTGAAGGCACTCAGCAGCCTTCAGAGGGTGGGTCTGCTCTGCTTTCCAAGCTTTCCTCTTGGGAGGAAGGAGCCAAAAGCAAAAATAAGGAAATTGAGTTAAAAAACCCCAAACAAACCCAAAACTTACAGGACTATGGTTGCAGCTCACACACGATTCTAGAAATGTGAGTAATTGGTGGAACTGGAGCCTGTCTTCCCTTCCATTAATTTCATGATGTGGCCATTGGTCAGACACTCATTCTTGCTCTCCCTTGAGATATAAAACTGGACACAGGAATGGAAAGTAAAAGAAAATGGCAAGAATTTTACCTTAAGGATCAAATTGCTGCATAATTACTTCTTTATTACACCCTGTCACTTTAATAACCATCTTCTGCCCCATCCACATTCTTACCTTTAAAAGATATTAATGCAAACAGAGGCAGATGTTTCCTTTGCCTGTCAATTGTCAGCTTTCTTATTCCAATTTGTGTTGGAGCCCATTACCTAAAAATTACAATGTGCAAATATTCCAGTCACTGAGCTGGCTGTCAAGGTTGAATTGGCTCTGTCAGTGGGTTGGTGTTGTGTGTGTGAATAGGCACTGGAGCTGCTGTCTCCTGGTACCACGTTGTTTCTCTGAACAGAGGAGGGGAAGCTGAGAAAACTGCCTTGAAGATGAGTGATTTTGCTGTATTTGATTTGTGAATGTAATCACAATTTTCTGATGAGAGAACACATGAAGTTTTTTTAAACATAGGCATCTAAGATGATGTTTTAGATTTAAGGAAAAAAGAAGAGTGAAAGCAGAGGCTGCTTGGCTTCACATTTTAACTGTGCTGGCATTTCATCCCTGGTGGATTCCAATCATGATGTAGACTTCATGCAAACTGTATTGGATGTTCTTCTCACTCTGTGGTTTTTGCAGTCACAAAATCTCCTGCACAATTTGATGAGAATGGCACTTCCTATTTGAGTTGTGTGACTGAGCTGTAACAAATGGGACCTAAGGAGCACTGAGAGCACTACGCTGGGGATTCTGGCAGGGCATCTCTTGCACTTTGCAGGTAGAATTCAACAGGAAGGTGGAAATTTCCCACTCATGCAAATGCAGGTGGTCAGGGTAGTTTGCTTTTCCAGTGGAGACTGTCTCTAATTGCAGTTTCATGAGGACAGCACAAATCCCAAGTCCAAAGCTTTAAGACAATCCAATGAGCTGTTTGTGCTGCTTTCACCTGAGTTTTTTCCTCCCTGTGTTTCCTCTGGCAGGACCAAGAAGAACAAGCTTATTTTGCAGTGTTTGATGGTCATGGAGGAGTGGATGCTGCCATCTATGCCTCCATCCACCTGCACGTGAACATGGTCCACCAGGAGATGTTCCAGCACGACCCGGCCGAGGCTCTGTGCCGAGCCTTCCGCGTCACCGACGAGCGCTTCGTGCAGAAGGCAGCCAGGGAGGTGAGGCACTGACAGCACCCCCTGCAAATCCTGCCTTTCCAGAGGGGCTCCAGCCACAGTGGAATCAGCACAGAGCTCTCCATGCCCCGCTGGTGGCTTTCTGTGCTTCACATCCCATAAAATGTCAGCTCCACATCCTGTAAAAATGTCAGCTCCACGTCCCATAAAAATGTCACTTCCAGCTTCTCACAGCTTCCAGCTCCTCTGAAGGATGCTGCTGCCATGCCCACGCTCACCTGCCTACCAGGCTCAGCCCTCAGAGTCACAACACACAGCTGTGCCTGTAGCAGCAGGAGCAGGCCCAGCAGTGCCCAGCTCCTGGCAGGCAGGGCCCACGCCAGGGATGTCATGGGGCACATTCGTGTTCAGCCAGGTTGGCTCCAAGGGGCTGTAGTGAGCAGTCATAACTGTAGGGAAAGCACTGCCTGTTCCTCCCTGGGAACAGGCTCTGTGCTGCAGTTTCAACGTGTTCTGTCCCTGACTTAAGGAAGAAAATGCTTTGAAATGGAAATGTATTTTTTTCCAGAGTCTGCGCTGTGGAACCACCGGGGTGGTGACTTTCATCCGAGGGAACATGCTGCATGTGGCTTGGCTGGGGGACTCCCAGGTCATGCTTGTGAGGAGAGGCCAAGCTGTGGAACTGATGAAACCCCACAAACCAGATCGAGAGGTGAGAAGGGCCTGTGTGAACACCCCTGGGCAGTGACCAGCACAGGTACCAGCTTTGGGGGAGCGCTGCCATGCCAGGATCTCTGTGAGCAGCAGAGCATGTTGCACTTATCCTGGTTGGTTTGGATCTGTGAGCAAACCCTTTGTCTCGTGGGGCCTGCCATGTTTGTGAAAATCCAGATGCTGATGATGGGAGTGTGGAGTGTGTGATGCAGCTCTGACTGCTCTGTCTTGTGTTGCTCTCTTGTGTTGCTGTTCAGGATGAGAAGAAGCGAATCGAGGCCCTGGGTGGCTGCGTGGTCTGGTTTGGAGCCTGGAGGGTGAATGGGAGCCTCTCTGTCTCCAGAGCTATTGGTAAGAGAGAGCCTTCATTCCTTTCTGAGACTTGTTTTGCTTTTTGACTATAAAATTTTAATTTTCTAGTCATCAAAATTTGACATACAGCTGAAGATAGGCCTATGAGCAATAACCTCTATTTTTCCCCCTACAGTCTGAGGGAATAATTTCCAAATAATTGCTTTAACTTGGGGTAAGAGTCATTGGCTCCACACTGAGTTAATAAGGGCTGCTGGAAGCTGTGGCTGCAAACCCACAGTTGTGTTTCTCTGCTGTTCTTCCACAGGAGATGCTGAGCACAAGCCATACATCTGTGGGGACGCAGACTCTGCCTCCACGGTGCTGGATGGCTCTGAAGACTACCTCATTCTGGCCTGTGATGGCTTCTATGACACAGTCAACCCCGATGAGGCAGTCAAAGTGGTGGCTGACCATCTGAAGGAGAATAACGGTGACAGCAGCATGGTAGCACACAAATTGGTGGCATCTGCTCGGGATGCCGGCTCCAGCGACAACATCACCGTCATTGTGGTGTTTCTCAGGGACATGAACGCGGCGGTCGCGGTCAGCGAGGAGTCGGACTGGACAGAGAACTCTTTCCAAGGTGGCCAAGAAGACAACGGGGAAGACAAGGAGAACCATGGAGACTGCAAACGGCCGTGGCCCCAGCACCAGTGCTCAGCACCTGCAGATTTAGGCTATGAAGGACGAGTGGACTCCTTCACCGACAGAACTAGCTTAAGCATAGGCTCCAGCGTTAACCCCTTGGATGATCAAGGCTATTTAGACCTGACAAAAACAGAAACTAGTACACCTCAGAGTGCCAAATGTCTGCCACCAGTCCAAGTGTTTAGTCCTGGCATACCAAAGAGTGCGGGTGCCATCAGCAGCTCCCCGGTGAAGAGCGAGGCCCCGGAGCCCGGCGCGCCCTGGGGCTGCGGGGGGAACCATCGCAGGGAGGACGCCCCTCTGAGCCCGGGGGCTGCAGGGCAGGGCATCTACAGGGTCAGGGGCTCAGCCCCCATCTCCCTCGGGCTGGAAGATGAACTGTTCAGATCCTTGGGAAAACGAGCTGCGTTCCCTCATTTGCGGCTCTGCAACGGGAAGAGGCGGCGAGGAGCCAGGCTCAAACCAAAGTTTCACACGCCGCTCTGGGCTCAGGAGCCTTCCCAGGGAGAAGGATCCGGCCTGCCCTTCCCTGCCCGGGGCCGCAGGAGCAGGAGGGCGCTGGCCCGACCCTCCCCGTGGCGGTGGCTGCCCAGCCACGGCTCTTACAGCGAGTGCTCGATGCGAAGACAAAGTCATTGTATACCAGACCCACACCTCCATCAATGCTGTAAAATGTAACCACCCCCTCGTGTTCCCCTGTCAGACTCCCAAAGTAGACATTCCCAAAATAAAACTGGCATCATCAGAAAGCGAGAAAAAAAAATTAAAAAAAAAAAAAAAGAAAGAGGTGGGCATTTCCGAACTGTACTCCAGTCCCCTGCCAAGCTGAACCCCTGTGTAAATAGAACTAGGAATTAAGCAATGTAGTTGTTTGGATCTCTGACGAAGTTCGGTGGTGGTGCCACCCCCAGCAACGCCGCAGCGCCCACCCGCACACACACACACGAGTGTCCAGCCACATCAGCAGGAGAGCCCAGCGCTGCCCGCGGGCAGCCGCGCCAGGGCACGCTCCTCAAACACGCAGAAGGTTGCACCTGCCTGAGAAATGTCTGTGGAGCAATACTCAAGGAACGATCTGGGTTAGAACTGCCAAATTTTTTTTTTAGAGCGGGGGGAAGTTTCCGTAGAGTCGAGGTGTGGGGGTTTTTTTGGGTTTTTGTTTTTCTTTTCGTGTTCTGCTTTCTGTTTATTCCAGGTGAGCGTTAAGATGAATTAGAAAATTACATCCACTTTTGCAGGTAGACGACTAAAAGCCATACAGGGTTTACCAGGTACCTTAGGAATGGACACACTAAGCTCCTGCTGCTCTGGTCTCAGACTCCCATCGAGGTACAGATTCATCATTTACCTTTATTTTTTTTCCATGTAATATAAAATGCAGAGTATGAAGAACAAACTTTTCTTGCAGTTTAAAAAAAAAAAATATTTCCTGTGGCTGGAGGTGCAGTGTAGAGAATTTCGTATCTTTCTGGTGCTTTTAGTGGCATTTTTCTCATTTCTCAGTTTAGGAAATTGTTCTCAATGAGTTGAACATGACTGTGCTTAATGCTTTGAGCCAACCTCTTCCCACCTTAACTTCATCTCAGGTCTTAAAAGAACCCAACCCGTGGAGGTGTCCAGTCCCACCCTCTGTCCCCGCGGAGATCAGGAGCTGTTGGATGAGCTGTGTGGTTCTGGTGAGGATTCCCAGGTGGCAAAGGCAGCATTTCACAGCCAGTGGCAGCAGGAAGGACGCACCCGGCTGTGTGTTCAGGGTGTGGAGGGATGGGTGATGCCGGAGCAGCCCAGAGGGGATGGAGATGCCGAGGATGCAGCAGAGCAGGGCTGGGGCTCCAGCAGAGAGGAGGAACTCAGCGCCCGGCTGGGCTCTGCTCCGGGTCCAGGAGGGCCAGGGAGGAACCCAGCTGCCCTTCTTTGCTTGAGCAGCGGCCACCAGCCCCTCCCCGCTCCCGAGGGGAGGTCACACCCGCAGGGGAGCCACTAATTGGGACCTAAAGAAGCGGCCGATTCCCATCAGCTCCACCAAGTCCAGAGCCCGTTCCTACCCTCTGCTACAGCGATGCACTGGGAGGAGTATGAACAAAATAAGTCTTCATAGGCACTTAGTGAACAATTCATATCATTTTAGCAGTAACAATAGCAGTATTAGTGTTTAGCTAGAATTTGCAAGTATTTTAATATTAAGTAATCAAGAAAATTATTCAACATGACAAGATGGCGAGGCTTGAATTCTGCCAATTTCTGCTGCTTCTCTCTTTGATGCACTATTTTAAAAGCAATCTGATGAACAGCAAAAGGCTTTGTGAGCAACCAGGAGTTGGAGTGTGGCTTTAGATTCCTTTGATCTTTTTCAGACTTTGTTTTAATCTTACGGGATCATTGGCTCTTATCTGCCATCTTATTCTGCCTTAGCTGTTGTCAACGTTCTCTTTAGCTGCAGCTTCTGTTCCAAGTCAGATTTACCGAGGAAATTTGAGAAACCATGAAATGGTAAAATATGCAACTCTGGGGCATCTCTGCGGTGCCTTTGTTTTAAATTATTCACAGTAATAATGACTCACTGAAAGTCCATCTTTAGCTGTCATGTTCTGGAGAGAAAGGTGGTGTAAGTGCAATTCTTGATGTGAGTAAATTAGAATGCAAACCCGTCACGGATGATAAAACTTCTTCCCAGTCTGCAGGAGCAGTTGAAGAGCACTGGACTGCATGTGTGCTGTTTTGGGAAGGATCTAGCTTTTTTAGGTGTGGATTCATAAATGGTAATTCTGCGACTCATCCCATTTATCTTGCTAGGAGAAAAAAAAAAATCCACCATCGTAGTTGCAGTGTGGTCAGGTAAAACCATTGTATAGATAGAGCAAGTGTTCATTTCTTCACTAACTGCATATTTATAGAGTAGATAGGAACCATTTGTAAGGTAAGTCCTTTAAAGTTCTATAATATTAAAAGTAGTGGTTATTGGTCTGATTATGCTGCTCTTGATTCTACACACTAGACAAAAAAGCAGTGCTTGTGAAATGCAGTGTTTTCTCTTAATGCCACTGGTGATAGGAAGTAGTTCCTTCAGTTCAAACTCCTGTGCCCTTATCTGCTGCTTGCTGACGTAAGCAATAATCCCTCTCTAACGGTATCTAAGTGTTCTGTATCTCGTACCTTGATCGTCTATCTGGTGACAGTGTAAAATATTAGGCTAATAGAGAAGTATCTCATTGTATTTATTAACTGTTGATACTGAGATTTAGTCTGTGACCTGTGTTTTGTATTTTTATCGTGTATCTTAGTGGTGGTGAAAATTTGTACAACGAATCTTTCCAATAAAGAGCTGAAGTATCCCTCATCCGCGTTCACACGACCCCGCATCCCTCTCGGTCGACGCGGTGACCGTGGTTGCAGAACCAGGAGGTAGCAGTGACAACATGACTTTAGTTTTGTTCTGTTTCACTTGTGGTGGTTTTGAGGAAGGGGCTCGGGGCTGGTTTGCCTGGAGCTGCTCAAAACTGGCTCGTGAGCTCTTCACTGTGAGCGCCGCGGGGCTGTTCCAACCCTGAGCAACGCGTGCGGTGCAGAGAGCAGGACAGCACCAGGGCAGGGAGCTCTTCACCCATTCCATTTGCACTAGAGGTGGGTGGAAACGCACGTGTGGAACTTTTCTTTACCTAGAAGTGCCATCCATTGTCCTTGGAATGAGAACGGTTCGTAGCCGAGCTGCGGCGCCGCGGCGCTGGAGGACAATGTCCAAGCAGACTTTAACTTACACCACGTTTCTGGTGGTGCAGCATCCTAGAAACTCCGCCTGTTTTTGGAGCACTGTGTGTCAGTTGTCCCATGGGCAGATGAGGCACGAGGCGTTGTGTGCACAGACATGGCTGCTGTAGTTCAGGTCCACTCTCTCCTCACCAAATCCTCCCGACCCCAAGATTCTGCGGGAATAAAGCAAAATGAGAAAGATTGGTCTAAATTAGGGGCTGTTTTAGCACAATTTCTTCACTCGGCACTCAGTCACATAAACAAAGCCATCCAAGGGGATACTGCAGCTTTGTTCATGTCTGTAATTTAGGGCAATCTTTCTTTAATTCACATCCTCTTTGCAACAGGAACAAAACTTTCTACCCTTGTATCATGTGCAATAATAAGGAAGCATTAACAGGACCTCGGAGCCCGATGTCCGTGCCCCTCTCCAGCCCTGGCACCCCAGCCATGGCACAGCCCTTGCCAGCACTAAAAACAAACAAGCCCCACCTGTCAGGGTCTCGTGGAACCCTTGTCGTGTCCGGTCTTTCCTCTCCTTCCCTCTGAAGACACCTCGGGACGAGAGCGGGGAGGTGGCTGAGCTCCCCCCGAGTGCTGCTGCTCGTGGCCAGCCAGGCACGGGCTCAGCTCCTGGGTGCTCCTGCTGACCTTTCTGTAGTACCTTGTTCATGAAACATGTTCTTTATGAAGTGAATAAATTCAAGCTAAATCATGTACCGGTGTTGGGACTTTTCCATTTGCAATCTTGTTCTACAGTTCACCCGCCAGTTAAGTTCTAACCATGTATTAGTCATCCATATTTTATTTATGAAAGCTGTTTATACAGGAAAAACTGTTGAAGTTTTACCAATATCTTAATAAAACAGTAATTTAAACCACACTCCAGCTAGTCTGGTTATTGAAGAGCCAACAAAGGCAGTGAGCAGCTGTGCCTTTGGTGTGGTGAAAGGGGGTTTCCTTGGTGGGACATGGAACTGGAGCGACCCTGCTGAGCTCAGTGGCTGCTCAGGGCCCATCTCTGGCCAAAAGGATGGGGCTGTTATGGCCCAGCCCAAGGAGATCAGTGTCTTCCAAGCCCCTTTCCCAACCAGCTCTGAACAAGCTGCCCACAGAAGGTGAGCAAAGCAGCAGCTGCTCTCTGACCCCTGCAGGAGCTGGGCACAGCCCAGGGCAGCCCCTGTGCCTCACTGGGGCTCTCCTGAGAGCCCAGCAGAGCTCCTGCTCCTGTGCCTGCTCTGGGGACAGTGACCAGCACTGCCCAGACTCACAGTGCCTGCTCTGGGGACAGTGACCAGCACAGCCCAGACTCAGTGCCTGCTCTGGGGACAGTGACCAGCACAGCCCAGACTCAGTGCCTGCTCTGGGGACAGTGACCAGCACAGCCCAAACCCACAGTGCCTGCTCTGGGGACAGTGACCAGCACTGCCCAGACTCAGTGCCTGCTCTGGGGACAGTGACCAGCACAGCCCAGACTCAGTGCCTGCTCTGGGGACAGTGACCAGCCCAGACTCACAGGGCACCTCCAGCATCTGCTCCTCTACAGAAACAAAGCAGCTTTGGGAAAACTGCCTCCTTCTCAATTCCTGCTCAAATCAAGATTTCAGCATTTGGTCTGGCTTCTACAAATAGAATCCCAGAGGGATTTAAGTGCTTTTTACTGAATAATTAAGGAAAAAAGTGACAGGATAAAGTCCCTCCACACACAGCCAGGTGTTGCAGCAACCCTGACAGCCTCCACCATTTTACTTATCCACACACAAAACACCTGAAATTCAGATTTCAACATTCATTTTATTAACAAAGTGCAAACAGTTTTAAACTAGGAGTTGTAGAGCACATTCACACGGACACAGGGCACAGGCAGCCACACGAGGACAACACCAGGCAGGGCTCATGCTTTGTCACTAACCAGGCATCAGCTCTCAGAGGAGCTTCACAAGGACTTCAGCAGCTCAAAATGCAACAACAAAGAGTTTGGCAATGGGTGTGGTTGGTCCACGTCACCAACTGGGGAAAACAATTGGAGTGGTGGCTGTTTTCCCCCAGCATTCCAAAGGCCAGTCACACACTCTGCTCATTCCAGTGGCACAGCAGGACACTCATCCCAGGCCGGGGCTCAGCACCTTCACTCCTCAGAGCAGCCGAGGCTGGTGGAGCAGCAGAGCCAGCCCTCAGTACAGCCCTGCAGAGGTCCCTGTGCCCCGGGGCAGGGGAAGACAATGGCAGAAGAACCAGAGTGGAGAGGGCACAGCCCGGGGCTCAGCTCCAGGGAAGCACACTCCTCTCCCAGGGATGCAGCCATGGATCTTCAGGCCCCCAGCCCACGCTCTACCTGCTCCAAACAAAGACAGTCTGCACTGAAAACTCTCCTGCTTGAAGGCTTCAAACAAACACAATCTAAGAGTTAAAATTTTACACCAGCTGCTTCAACCCAGGCAGTTTTGGGAGCATTTAGAGCTCAGCCCTCCCTCCCTCCCTCCTTCCCAGAGTGCCTCAGAGGCAGAGGGAGCTCAGGATCCTGGCACAGGCTGAGCAGTGGCTCTGTGGCCTCAGCCCCAAGGAGAACCTTCCCACTCACCTGGTGCTGTCATCTGCAGGGACAAAGCTGAGATCCTCAGAACTGGCCTGATCCCCATCTGGTAACACCGAGGAGTGCCCTGAGGGTGAACACAGCACCAGCAAAGCCCAGTCAGCCTCCCAGTGAGCTCTGCAGCAGCCAGGGAATGCTCCCTCCCCTCCCTTCACTCGGGCCAAACCTTCACCCCCTGGCCTCACAGCTTTGCTCCACTGCATGGAAGTGAAAGCTCAGCCAGAGGAGTTTCTGAAGCTCCAGTGAACTGCTGGAAACACATTGCTGCCAATTAAGATGCAAATCCATGTCTAAGGCAGTGGTTACCTCCCTGGAATTAGCCTACTTCCAGTGCCAATCCTGGCTCACAGGGAGTTCCAGCTGGGAACTGCAGCTCTGGGTTTTCCAGCCCTCCCCAGGAGACTCACCTAAACTGACTTCTCAAGGCTAGCAAGAGTTTCCCTCTCCTGGTTTGAGCTGTTTTAATTGGGATCCCAAGAGGAGAGTTCCAAATCTTCCTGGCACTTGGAGCTTTAATCCCCAGCTCCCCCAGGGATCTGCATCCAGGAGCTCTGGGAACACTGGGAATGTTTGGGAAGAGGGCTCAGCAGCTCTACCTTCACTGGGGGGCTGCACAGAGAAGGCCTGGTTGAACACCTCCGAGGGAGAGGTGGCATCTTCCTGCTCCTCGTTCTCCGTGTCACATTCAATGTCACTGTCACTGCTCATGCCTGGCAGGAGGTGAAGGACGTGCTTCTGGCACAGCCCAGCTGCAAGAGAGAGCAGAGACAGCCAGGGCACAACGATGGCAGCACATCTGCACAGCTGCAATGGAGCTCCTGCCAGCCCCTGGGATGTGGTATCAGAGCAGAGGGAAGGAGCACTGCCCAAGCACCCAGGGGTCTGGTGGAGCACTGGGTGCCAGCCCTCAGCACAGCTGGACTTGTCCTGTGCCACCAGCTGAGCTGCTCAGTCCACTCTGCAACTGGGACAGAACAAAGTTGCTTTTCTGGGAGCTAAAAGCAGCACAGCCTGTGGGGCAGGTGGGCCTGGAGAGCCTCCAAGCAGCAATAGTGAGCTTGAGCCTCACACAACAAATTTCCCTCCAAAGCAGGAGCAGAGCTCTGGTGACTCCAGGTGAGGACCCTGGGTGTGCCCTGGGCAGCCACAACTCCCCACGGACAACACAGGCTCTGCTTCTTAAAGGCTGATGCTCATTGCTAAGAAAAAGCAAAGTGAGGGGCCAATTCTACTGGAGTTTTTCCTCTGAAGGGAAAAAAAAGGGTAATATTTGCTTCCTGGGGTTTTTAACAATGAAGTATTTCAGTTTCTAAAGCGTTTTCCTATTGGGCTCCCTGCTCTGAGAGCAGAACTGCAGGAGCACATCACGATCATGCTGCAGTGACTAAGAGCAGAAATTCAGTTTTGTCACTGAGAGACCTTCTGTAAATGCCAACTCCCACACAATATTGCACACTGCAGCTCGAGATGGATGCTGGCACCTTAATATAGGCTTTGTGCTACAATCCAGTCATTGAAATTCAAATTAGTGCAGGGGTGGAAGGCAGGAGAGTTTTAGCAAGATAAGAAAAACTCTATGTGGACTTTCAGAAGGGGAAAGAAAAAAAGCAGTGTTATTTTTTTCCAGCATGGAAAGGATGCAGGAAGGGAAGGGGGAAACTTTCCTTCAAGTCTCTAAGGAAACTGGATTATGCACCACAACACCCAGCAGGAATGAAGTGCTGGAGAGGCTCTTGTGTGCCTGTGGACAAAGCTACCACGGGGGGCTGTCCTGAAGGCACAGAATTACCAGCCAAGGTCACTGGCTACACTTTAAATTAGATGTGAACTTCTCAAGGCCACTCCACTGAACAGCAAAGCAAAGACCTGGAGCTGTCTCAGGGTACAAAAAGCAGCTGCTGGTCCAGAGAGCAGCAGCCACAGAGATCTTCTGTGCTCACTCAGATTTATTCTGCAGCCCACAGCCAAGCTCAGCAGCCACGGCAGCAGCTTTGGGGGGTTTGTCTCCTCCTTGCCAGCTCCAGAGGCACCTGC